CCATTAATATTCGTGCTCGTGCCGTGCCGTGCCTCATTTAAATGGGCTGGGCTCGTGCCGTGCTGGGCCGGCCCGTCCCGTTTGACACCTCTATTCCAAATGTTACGTGTTTTTTAAAATATAAATATAATATAGGACATCGAAATAATGGGAGTCTAATTTTCCATGAAATTCACAATTACATACATATTTTACATACAACCAGTATTGTCTTTCCTTAGTATATAGTTCATACTTTATTGGGGGTTTTGTAATACAATGTATACATGAAGATCTCACAAATATTTTATCTTCCGCACATCCATGTCTAAAGATACGAATACAGAACCCATATTACAATACAATATGCACATCTTCATCACCGCCAACACAAACACAATCTTGCTCTCATGAGGATGAGCTCGAGGTATCGAAGTAAGAGACCCTCCGCCTTTTGCTCGGCAGCGTTGTTCTCGGGGAGTATTCTGGTGAGGCAGAAGCCTTATCAAGGACAGAACTCAGGGCCTGGTGAACAGAACTTGCAAGAAGTTGGAATGCATCAGCATCAGCATCATTGCTTCTCTCTTTGCAGCTGGTGAAAACAAACACATTTTTCACTCGGTTTCCCAAGGTTGCTATATCTGCCTTCACCATTTTCAAGTGAAGGGAATCGAGAGCTTCTCTTAGGTCAGAGAGAAGCTCAGACCGGTATTCACAGCAGACGGATGCTCTCACAGATATGGTTCCATCCCCTGCCCCAGTGTCATAGGGTTCAACTTGCACTTCATCAGCATCAACAGGAATGAGAAATCCCTTACTAGATTCTAGGGCATCCTTCTTCAGTTCTTTCACCTGGCTGATAACTTTAGCAAGTAATGCGGCTTTGTCCATCTATAGGCAGCAATTAGGTCAAGGTTAAAGACTTAAATCAGTTGCCATCAACAGCCAACACCATAGCTTCTCCAATATGCTTACATATACATGCACACACAAATACATGATGCATATATAATATACATATTAAGGGTCATTCACAAGAAGTCAAGGCCAACCTATTGGCTGGTATTACTAACATCAGCATGACGTCTACTTTGTCAATAGCATAAACCCAGTTAACTTAGTCATTATACAAATTGGGGGCCCTCCCAATTTGGAGGCCCTAGGCGGCCGCCTTGCCCGCCTGTTCCCAGGGCCTCCCCTGCTACCTAACAATTTCAATACAGGCTTCCACATACTTCCAAGCTCACCTAGGTAGACTTAATATTTAAGAAATAGTAGCATGAGAAAAACCTTGCTCATAAGTTATCAGAGGATAGACTTAGCCCACGAAATACAGAGCTAGTCATCCAACTTGCTTCGACTTGGAAATCGGGGTAGATGACACATTAAGGAAAGAAATGTGTGATTAAAAAAATTATTTTTATTAAAAGATACTCTCTGAAGCTTGAACATAAAAAATTTATTAGTTAGCCCCATACATATTTTCTTGCTTACCGCCCCAAACATGATATAATATCTTAATTGAACGGTTGAGCAAGACACATCTAAGCCATAGATTATAGTCCTGATGTAGACCTTATGTTGGCATCTACCACACAGCTGGCGCTGTACCCCATCATCCAATCATAATCATTAGTACTTCCCAAAACACATAGAATGGTCTGCTAAAGACTGAAGCTATTGACAGCAAAGCATCCCATATATATACTTAGTGTTAAACAACCACAGACTTACAAAATTAATAAATAAGATGAAGTTCCCGTGAAACACTGTTCAGCTTACTTAATTATAATATGTTCTAGGTGCATTTGACTTGGTAGATTTATAAGCTAAAGTCAGAGTTTCTCTGCCAACAAAAAACCATTTCTACGTTTCTTTCCAACATAGTGCGTAGTGTGCTGTACCTAACAGGTTGAAAATCCACCCCACCCCATCCCACCCACCCCTAATGCTTGATTTCTGAATTTAATTGAAAAAATGCAAATCCAAAGTGCACCTAGACATTTACAGCAGATTCATTTTACAGATGGTTTTGAAGCTCTGAGTATTTTAGATGTTTACCTTTTCAAATAATTTAACATATCCATGAGTTGAGCAGATTCATTTTCCAGATGTTTTTGAAGCTCTCTAAGTATGGAAGAAGTTTACTTTTCAAATTATTTAACATATCTAGAGTTGACTTTTGTAACTTCCATACTAGAGTTGACTCTGCAAAGGCACAAATAATGTAATGAAAACCTTTGTTAATTTGAATGATGTGCACTAAAGCACGAATGATCTTCTCTTTCATGATTTCATAACTCAGATAATGACAGCATATCACTAGAATGGGTATTTCATATTGATCACCTTAAGCTTCTTGGAGCAAAATTGAATACAGGATCCATAAAAATACATTAGAACAAGATTCCTGATAGAGAAAAGCTTCATTAGAGTTCAGAATCTATGTATTCAATTCAATAACTCTTCAACAGAATTCTCATAGCACCCCAAATATTTGTTTAAACATGTTCGCTTTTTGGCACAGAAAACAATGACTGTTAAAAGCAAAACACTCTCAGCTCTGCCCGGTTGTCATATTCTGATCAACCCCTTGTTGCCACAAAAAGGGAAGAAAAAACTTATCATATTTAAGCCAAAAGTTTCATATTTGAAATATTTGGTCAATTAGACCAAATAGCCGTTCGAAGTTAATCTTAAATTGATCTGTACAATTCTATTTTCACTTATGGTCTGATTAAAGAATCTAAGTTTCATATGGTAGGTTACTACTTTACAGTCAGCAAAAAGATGTCGAATAACTTTTCGATAAAGAACTTCAAATTTAAGGTAAGACCAATTTCTTACTAGTAATGTTTTCCAATGACTAGTATCTAATAACCAGTTAAAACTTAATAAGCTATAACAACAATCCAACAATCTCAAGTATAATCAACCAGTATGATTGAAACTACATGAAAATTATACTTTACCTTTTCAGTGCAGGGCACGAGACCACGAAGCGTAGAGAGATGTGCATTAATTCTCTCTCTTCTCCTCCTCTCAGCCTCACTGTGATTCTTCAAAGCCGCCAAGGCCTTTGCCTCTGATACCCCTTTCTTTCCCACTCTCGCTGGAGCCTTAACAAGCTCACCTTTCTCACCATCCAAAACCAGAGAGTGAGGCAAAACAGACCCACCTCCTCGCAGAGCCCCACCAAACCCACTTGAGCCATGCGTAAAAGGGTCGAAGAGGCTCGAGTATTCAGACCTAAATGAAGAGTTGGAGTTAAAACTGTAAAAAGCCATATGGGTTTTCTAAGTCTTTCGATACACAAACCTATGAACCAAAGCTGGAGAAGAGCAGACCAGGAGGGCGAGTAGTTGGGGCAAACCAAAAAGAGAGCTTTGGGAAAGGGAAGCTTTGAGAACCAGCTTTGTTGCTTAGCAAGGTGTTGATTATGGTGGCTGTGGTGGTGGCAGTGACACTTCTTGTGGGTTTGGTCATACCTTCCATTACGCAAAAGACAAGCTTTGGGGGTTTGGAGGAGGTGATCAATGAGAAAACATCCACATTTTCTTCTTCATGGTCTCGAAGTCGAGGATTTCAAAAAGGCGAAAAGCAGAGTGAAATAGAGGGTTTTGGGAACTGGGTTCTCGGGAAAGAGATTTATAATAACGTGAAAGGTGAAAACTTTGTTGGGTTTTCGATGCAGATGAAGAAGAAAGGCAGACAGAGAGTCAAAGGCTACTGGTTCACGGAGAGCAAATGTTAGGAAGAAGGCGTCTTTTTAAGGAGCAGAGAAGGGATGAGAACAAATGTTTTGTGGAGTTTGAGACGGAGGAGTAACCAAGTCCCACCATATATATAGGGCAATGATTTCCCCACTCCTATTTTATCCACTTACACTCCTTTTTTAGTTATAAAAAAGGAGTGTAAGTGGATAAAATAGGAGAAAAATGAGTGGGGAAATCACCACTCTATATATATTGCTAGCAATAATTTTTAATCCACTATCATATCGATAGCAATAATTTTTAACATATATAATACATAAAAAATGCCAAACTTATTTCACTTATATACATACATGACAAAACATATTCCCCAAGACATGTTATAAAATAGACAATTTCTTGAGATGAAAAAGTATACAAAATGAACGTGAACAAAATTACTACGTATATTTTTGCGCATTGATATGGCTAAAACGACGTTGTTTCAATGTACGATTTATGTGATCAATAAAAATAAAATAAATGAAATTGTATAAGCTTTGATCATCAAGTATAAGTTTAACTCGAATTTTTCAAATTTGCTTAATCTACTTAGGGTGAAAAATGTAGCAATTTCCATGCCAAATACCTCTTCATGTGGCAAACTTCATCACAGCCAGCCACATTAATTCATTCATGTGGGGATTAGATCCACGTGGGGGTGATCTTCATTAAAGGAAAAATAATTTAAAAAAAATTAAGAATGATTTACAAAAACATAATGCCATAATTCAACATTTAACTATAATAAGTTTCTGGGGCATGTTTTTCTTTTTTGGTCAACGAGGTTATGCTGTTAAGACTTAAAATACAGAATATTGCCATTATTGTCTTTAGGAAGGTTAAGATATTCAAGGTTGGCCGCTCATCAACAAGACGTAAAAGAAAATATAAGCGATAACATGTCATGTTAAAATGAGTTTATTTATGAAAACCTATACACCGCGCAACGTCAATTTACTATTTTTTTATTTGCATAAACTCCTTTTTCCTTTTGGCAAGCTCAAAAGTCCACATATACGCAAGGGCCAATATTGAGTTGCCTTCAACAACTCGCCCTTCAAAACACACATCAGACTCCGGCCATAAAATAAATAAACAAGCACAAAAGCAAAAACCGAAACTTCGCTACAGAAAATGCTAATGATATAATATATTTGGAAGACTTTCTTTAAAGAGGATATGAGGGTCTTGCCTTGTCATCGGTGGTCCTTCCATACTTTCCACATCAGCCCTCTGTCACGTAAAAGTCCCAGTCATTTTTTTACTATTATTGTATTAACTTGGTGTTTGGATCTTTGCCTAGATTCAACTGATTGAAGAAACTACTAGATTAAATACAAATTTAATATTTATTTTTTAAAATATTCATTTCTATTTGGGGTTTTATGGGTTTTGTTTCTCAAAGATTTGGCCTTACGTGCTTGTGTTCTTTGAATACTTTTGGCCGATTTTTCATTCAATAAACCATGATTTCATTTTCTTATTGAAAAAAATAAATAAAGAAAGAAAGATGCGGTGCACGTTTTTGTCTGTCAAACAATTTTAATTTGTTTTATTTATTTATTTTTGAATGAAAACAACACATTGGTTCAGAATTTGTTTTAAATGTGCTCACCATTTTGGTTGAGTTTTGTGCAGAGCAGCCAAAAATGTTTTTATTTATTCATGAAGTTGGTCTCTCACCGTGAGATGACATGAAACATCCTACAAAAATTCATTTTCGTTGACATAGAGCTTCTTGCATGTCATAGGCTTTGGTTGGTTGAGGTTGCATCCTGATATGAACATCCCACCAAAGTTTTATTGTGTTTTAAAAAAAAAAAAATTGTTAACATCAACCCCATCATATTTAAAGTAAACTCTCACACCCAACATCCTAACATAAATTAATAAAGCAGTTCATTTTATGACTAGATTAATGACATTTGGTATCCACAATAGCATTTGTCGAGAGTTAAAATCGCGATGGAAATGCAAGTATGGTTAGGTCAGTTGACTAGTACAGTGTGTCAGCCTCTTACAACAGAGAATGATTTAGAATATCACCCTAAAAAATGATGAAAATAAACTGCAAATTTATTGTGAATTATGGGGTGATAATGATATATATAATTGTTGCTTGCATGTCAATCTAGAACAATACTAAAAATGAGCTATACTCCACTCAACATTCATGGTTTTACACACAAACATTCATGGTTTTACACACAAACATTCATGGTTGCATGGGAGTTTAGAACCTATGGGCACACCCACAGATTGAGCTATACTCCACTCACAAAGATACTCTGTTTTTGTTTGGTTTTTTGGGTGAAAAAAGATACTCTGTTTTTTGTCAGAATGGAAAAATATATTTTATTTTTTGGCCTTAAAAAAGGAAAAAGATTTGATGGGAAGAGATTTCCCCAAAAAAAAGGGGAAGAAAAGAAAAGAGAAGGTGCGGTAGGAAAGACGCGGGAATATGGCGGACAGTTGGTTGGGCCCATGTCCCTCTCGCTCTCCCTCTCTGAATCTCACTCTCAGTTTCCCCCAATTTCCTTGGAGATCTCATTCCATGTCTACCCTTCGCTCCCAAAACCCTAAACATTTCCGTTGCTACTCCTTCTCCTCCATCCCTAACCCTAGCCCTGTCATGCCTTCCTTGCTTGTCTTTTCAGGTCCCTCTCCGCCACGTTAATCAACAAATGCAATAGAAAATTTCAGGAAAAGGGAACAAAGCTCACCTCTTCTCGTTTCGTAATTGCAGGTGGGACTGCGTTCAACGGCGTCGTTGAGGAGCTCAAGAATTTCACTACTCGCGTAGCTCACGTCCTTCCTGTTTCCGACGATGGAGGAAGTACGGCTGAGATCGTTCGTGTTCTCGGTAATTAACTTCTCTCTTCCTTTTCAATTTCTTCGTATCTGGTATTTTTTTTCTCATTGCTCGTGGTTGTGTATTAGGTGGTCCTGCTGTCGGAGATATACGGTCCAGATGTTTGAGATTGGCTGATAAGAGCTCTTCTGAGGCTGTGGCAGTCCGGAGATTGCTTGGTCACCGTTTACCTCTTGATTCGCGTCAAGCCAAATCTGAATGGTAATGTTTTGCTACCAGGTTTTTTGTTGCTTTTACTACTATTTATGGAAATTATATAGCAGTGTTCTGCATTAGAACTGATGTTAGGCAAAAATGTTGAGCAAATAGTGAAGTATGATGATGTTTATGGACATTTCTTCTGATTTTCAACAATGTATATAGTTGGGGTCCTGCCTACTTTCTGTTGTATTTGTCATTTCTAGGTGGTATGTTATTCTATATCCTAAATTATTCTCATTTACGTGCTAGGTGTTACTATGGTGGGGTATTGAGTAACAGTCTGCTGAGTTGAGAATTTGACAGGTATGATATTGTGGAAGGAGAACATTCGCTATGGACGGGAGTATCAAAACCCTACAGGGAAACCATTCGAGCTTTTCTAGTTTATTTTCAGAATCAGGTTAGTAATCAGGTTGGCAATGCTATATTGCCTCTATTAATTTGATTTATATGTGTTCTGATTTCGAACTGCTGTTGAACTCTTCTGAACTTCTTCAATTGCCTTTTTCAAATGCAGATACTCCGGCGATCTGATGAATCATTTTGCTTCAGTAATGGCAGGTGTGAAATCTTCACAATAGCTATGACTTGGTGTATTTCTGTGTTGTTTCATTATGGTGCTTAATTGAAATTCAGTAATCCACTTTCTTTAACTAAGAAATTTTTGAAAGATGCACTACAATAATATATCTTTCATGATTGGATTTCACTATGTGATAATATTATTTCTTTGCTTAACTGATTTTATAATTTCTGCAGCATTGGGAATTTCTTCTTTGCAGGAGCACGCACATTTTTTCAGTCCTTAGATGCTGCAATATTTTTGTTTTCCCGTGTGTCAGATATCCCCTCAGAGAGTCTGGTCCTCCCAGTGATTTCTACTAACGACAGGCTTACATTAGGATGTGAATTATGGGTATGATTGTTGACATACAACTCATGTGCCCTGAGATATGCATGCATATACTTTATACTATGGTATTGGTTTACTAATTGACCTGGTGCAACGCAAGATACATGTGTACTTTCAAACCATAGTTGAAATTGCATTGTATGTTTAATTTAAGGTCTGGCTAAGAGACTTTACCAACCATGCTACTGGCACCTTCTCATTTATGGAACTTGCAGAAGATATGCAGCATAACAATTGTATGCTCCTTATGAAAATGATTCAAACCTTTTGTTGTATTCTTTTCTTTTTCCATCATCATCAATTCATGTAACAAGTAAAGTTTGCAAGATTCTGCCAATACTTGATTATGCTGAATTCCTTATTGTGCCCCCTAGGATGGAACTATAATACGAGGCCAGAACAAAATTTCTCATCCGACCAAGGGATATATGGAACCTGTCAATAAGGTATGCTGATATGGTTTTCTTGATCTGGAAGTCTCAATCTATAGGTTCTCTGTCAGAAGTATTCTGATAGTTCAAGTTTTTTCCTGAGAATACATGACATGGATTCTTCAGAATGTTTCATTCCTTATAAAAAAAACATATAGGGGTTTTGAGAGATTCGATGATGTCAATGTGGTGGGTGCATGCTATGGTAGTAATGGTGTTGTTGGCGAGGTAATAGTGCATGTTTGAAGAGAGAGAATTTGGTTGTCCAGAAACAGAAAATGATGTCACTGCTATTAATTCAATTTCTTGGTATTGTTTTATAAAAGTCATTTACTAAAATCTTGATGGTGTTTCAATTCCACTTTGGGTTTCTGACCAACCATAGTTGATTGGGTTTGGGCGTTCTAATTGGTTCTTGTAATTTTACCCAGCCAAGATCTATTCACATTATCATCATATCGTGTTAAGACTGGGAAAGACATTTAAGGGCTGATTGATTTTTGCATTTTACTCAAATTCTAGAGGCAGGATCATAGTAAAGAACTTCTCATTTATTGAAAGTGATGACTTACTGTGGACAGGAAAGCTCTTCATTTCCAGCACTTCCTTCGAGCATAAAGCGGGTATTCTACATGTCAAGTGAGGGCCAAAACTTGCTGCATGAGGTGAATGATACTTCATAAATTTTTCTTTTCTTTTCAGTTTCATGTAATGCCCTAAAGTTTTCCTTGTTGATTTTATTGGTATACTTAAATAAAGGGCCAATAATGGAGTCTTTTGTTAAATCTTTATCCTTTTTCTGATATTGCAAGGTTTTTAACATTATAAAATTTTATCAGGCGCTACCCTTAAAATTTTAATTTTCTCATCTTATGAAAAAAATACTGGTATGTGGCTCCCATTTTTCTAATGATTAAAATGCTTCCATATTCCATGCATATGCTTCTGCAGTTCCTGAAATCAGAACTCATAACAATGGTTTTCACAATGATTAGGTCTTCCCTGCTGCAAACCCATCTGTCTTGGATCAGTTACGTAATGTGGATTGCGTAGTTTATGCTATGGGATCCCTCTTTACTTCTATTTGCCCATCACTGGTAACATTACTTCCCATATTAAATATGCTGCATTTTCTTATTTATTTTACTAGAATTTGCTTCTTCTTTTTTCAGAAGATTCTAGAGCCCAGCTGATAATTCTTGATTGGACATGTGAGAAACCTGTATATTCATATTTTTAATTTGTTATGCCTCATTGTTTAGGTATTAATTGGCATTGGGGAGATTATATCTTCAAGGTCCTGCCCCAAGGTACCTATTCATCACTTTTAAGTTACATGTTACATGATACAAGTTCCAATCGTGCAAGTCTTCATATTGTTTCTTCTTTGACTGTTGCAAAGTTTTCTGACGTACCCCAGGGTCATCTTATAGATAGACATTAACAAATGCATTATTTATTTTCCATGTCAAATTACATGTTGAGTTGATTCAGTTTGTCCTGATACTAGGTGCTTTTGTTAAATGGTACACGTGACCGAGAGACCAGTGGCTTTTCAGCTTCTTGCTTTGTAACTGCTATCACAGATGCATTAAATCGAACATATGGAAATCCTCATAACTGTCTTGCAAACCTTGTAAGTTAGTCAGTGCAGTTACAGATGGTTGTTTTCTATTATTGTTAATGTCACATGGTTTTTTAGGAGTTATAAAAAAATAATTTATTACAAATTTGTAATTCAATGCAGCCCAGCCAATACATCAATACCGTATTAGTGCCCAAAGGTGGTGAGATTCCTATAGATGTTCAAAGCTTGGCTGCCAAAGGAATCTTTAACGTGGTATGTATAGTTTTAACTCCACTTTCAACAGAGTCCAAATGCTTTCTGTTACTTATAATAAACTAAAGAAATATATGTTGAATTTTGAATGGAATTATAAAGGTTTACGTTTACTATGATGAATATCTATTCTTGGATATTTTTCATGAACCTAGACTAGGATATTCAAGTTCTTATGGAGAGTAATTTGGCACTTTTGATTAAAGCCCTTGTTATAAAATATAATGCTTCTAGTGTCATGTCATCATAATGGCTAAGTTGAGTGCTTTGTCCTATCAATTTCCTGTTTTTAGTGTGCTTGATGGCCACAAATATCTTTCTTTCCTTTGTTACCTGGATATTAAAGCTCTGACGAGAGTGAGTTTCTGCAGATCGTTGTTGATTCTATACATGATCTAAAAGCTGGTGTAGTATTTGACCCAAAGTCGTTAATACAAGCCCTTGTTGACGTGATAGGCAGATGCACGAGTACAAATCTTACGGCGGTAGTCTAATGACAGTGAAAAAAGGAGCAAGCATGGTAATTTTCATGTGGCTGTTCATTAGTTTCATTATTCATGAGGTACAAGTTCAACAGCAAATCAATCTTTTTACAGCAGCTCTCCATATCAAGTACTAGTTCATGTTTCCGGAGATTTTGCTGCAATTACGTGACTAATGTTAAAATTTGACTATGTTTGATTTCAGGAACACTTTCTGGCTTATTTTGACTTGAGGTGATCTTCAGTTCAAGGATGTAGATGGGAAGTTGTTTGTGTTATTTGAAGGTTGAAACCCTAATTCAATTGAATTGCAGCAGTTTATATGCCCACTTAGAATCAGAGACGGTGACACCTCTCACAAGGTGCTTTCCAGTTATGTACAGAATTGACTTAGATAGTCGTGACAGTGTCACTGCATTTTTGGGCATGGAACTTTATTATGTATTCAATGATTTGTGTGTGTATATATATATATACATGTCTTTTGTACGTCAATACCATTGTTCGTTAAGGCCCATGTACGAGGGTTAGCAATTTGAATATTTCTTTATGTGCTCGTTCTTTCTTTTTTTGGGTAAAGAAAATGAGAAATTAATCCTTAGACAATTCTCCAAAACCTAGTTGTCATTTCATAATTAAACGAGTGTTGATTTTCGTAGGAGTGAATTGTGTTTAATACGGCTGTCTATTAAGGCCCAAGTATAATGTCGTTGAAGGCTCAAGAACGTTGATGTATGTAGAGCCCTGCAGTTCTTTGAACAAATAATGGATAACACCATGTTTATTTAGCTTTTCAGGGGACATAAATTGCCTAATTGGCTTCTTTTTTTGTTTTTGGTCATTTCCATGTAAAGGGTACGGAGAAAAAGGGATGCAAGATGTACACACACGCATTAGATTTCAGGTTCAGCAACCAAAACGAAACATTTATGCTTAGACTAACGACTTCCAAGACTATCTCGGTATAGTGAAACAGTACTAGTAGATAATCATCTTCAGTCCTAATCAACCGCAGAAGAAAACTTCGCTCGCTAACATGGCAACATATCCGGAATGCAACCTGGTTGCCAAATCCACCACAGATTGCCGGATCGAGATCCCGAGATCTTCTATATATACTTAGATCTCTTGAGGGATAAAATGCGTCTGCTAGATATATACTACATGATTGTTTCTATAAGCATAAGCATAAACAAAATTCATTTCACACAAATCTTAAACCAGTAAATAATGGATTTCACACTTAGAAAGTCATCATCTATTCTACTGACACTTTTAGTCCTAAAGCTAAATCCACCAATACGCACATTGCTTGATGCTCATACTTCCATGTTAGATAGACATAAGCAGTGGATGGCTCGATATGTACACATTTACAAGGACGATGAAGAGAGGGAAAAGCGTTTCCAGATATTCAAGGACAATGTGGAGTTCATAGAGTCCTTCAACTATGCTAGCAATCAGCCTTACAAGCTAAACATCAATGGATTTGCAGACCAGAGTCATGAAGAATTCCAAGCCTCTCGCAACCGATACAGAACATCCCTCAATCCCATGTCATCTAAGACACCTTTTAGATATGAGAACGTGACTGCAATCCCATCCAGCATGGATTGGAGAAAAAAGGGAGCTGTCACCCCCATCAAGGACCAGGGTGAATGTGGTAATTATCCAAAATCATTAATACCCTCATCCTAATTTTTGTTTTCAACTATGTGGTTCGCATTAATCTTTTCTAACTCGGGCTTGTATTGTGATATGGTATACAGGATGCTGTTGGGCATTTTCTGCAGTGGCAGCCACAGAAGGCACTACAAAGCTGAAAAGTGGGAAGCTTGTGTCTCTTTCGGAGCAAGAGCTAGTGGATTGTGACACTCAGGGTGAGAACCGAGGCTGTGAGGGTGGTCTCATGGATGATGCCTTTAAGTTTGTAATGCGCAACAAAGGCCTGGCAGCTGAAGCAAGCTACCCCTATAGAGGAGTTGATGGAATTTGCAACAAGAACAAGGTAGCATATCATGCAGCAAAGATCACAGGTTATGAAGATGTACCAGCCAACGAGTTGGCTTTGTTGAAGGCCGTGGCCAATCAACCTGTTTCTGTTGCAATTGATGCCGGTGGATACGAATTCCAGTTTTACTCACGTGGAATTCTCACAGGAGATTGTGGAACTCATTTGAACCATGGTGTCACTGTAGTTGGGTATGGGACAGGTGCTGATGGTACCAAGTATTGGTTAGTCAAAAACTCATGGGGTGCAGAGTGGGGTGAGGGTGGATATGTAAGAATTCAAAGAGATGTGCATACTAGGCAAGGCCTTTGTGGCATTGCCATAAAAGCTTCCTATCCTACTGCTTGAATTTCTATAGCAATTGTTAGGAAATATTCAACCTTCATCTTGTGTGTTCTTATTGATCATGTAATTTCTTAGTATGTAGCTTTTGGAATTAATGATGGAACTTAGTTTCTTGAATTTTTAGGCAATACATTAGTGCACTCGAGCTACTAAATAGATCGGTACTGGTGAAATTGAGCCTTGCTTCTTCTTTTAGTTTATTTTAAAGAATCTAAAACACAGGCTGGCTAGCCACATGAGAATTTGCAAAGATGTTGATATGTGAGTTACCATCGTATATATATGGCCAACAAGATCCCTGGTGTAAACCACAGAGCATGTATATGGTTGATGCCTATCTGTTAGGTAAATTATGTTTTTCATAAAACAAACAAGTAATAGGTACATTATTTTTTCAACCTAATTAGTATGTACAGTTTTATTCATAAACAATTATAAAGTGGATTATTAGTCATGTATAATTCATAAAAAGAAAATAACATAAACATTTTATTAAACAAACCGATTACCTAAATTTGAATTTATTGTTAAATTTTTTTAAAAATATTTCAAAATTAATTCATACATCCATTACAACCATTTGGAGATCTTTCCAAATTCAACATCTGTCATTATATAAAATCCAATTAAAAACTGTTTCCATATTGATTCCTACATTAATATACAAAATGCAATAATGGCTTAGTTGGGGGTATTTTTGGAATCTGAAAAGTACAATAAATCAGATTTTATGCTTAATTAGGTAACTTGCTGAGTTGGATCATAGTCATGGGTTTTTACTTATACAAATTGGGTATTATTTATAAGAACAAAAAGTGAAGGGTTTTAGGTACGGCAAATTGAATTTGAAAGGTGTAAGCCAAATTTACTAAAAAGTTTAATAAGGAAGCGAATCACACTTACAAGTTAGGCCTCAACGAATTCTCAGACCTTACAGATGAAGAATTCACCATGTTTCATACTGGATACAAACCCACAAGCTCATTCAAAAATAGTTCTTTCTGGAACGAAAACCTGACTGATGTTCCACCAACCATTGACTGGAGGAACGAAGGAGCTGTCACCCCCATAAAATTCCAAGGTGTATGTGGTAAGATGAGCACCAAAACTCAAAGGTCCCTACCAAAACTAATTGGTTATATCACATGCACATGAACATTATTTTGTGATCATTAATTAGTTATATAACATGCACATGCACATGCACATGCAGACACGAATCAAAACTGGTATAGCTTGATCTCACTGTCCAACAACTAGTGGACTGTTCCAAAAATGACGCCAACCAAGGTTGCAAAACTGGTAATGTGCTCGATGCCTTCGATTACATACAAACAAACGGTATCACCAATGAAACAGGTTACCAATACATAGGAAATAATGAAACATGTGACATTGAGAAGAAAATTAACATTGCTGCCTGTATTGCGGGCTACTAATCTGTGTGCCATCTGACAGCGAGGAGGCACTGCAGAAAACTGTTCCAATGCAACCGGTCACAGCTGCGGTTGAAGGCAGAGGAATGGCATTCCGACATTACTCCAGTGGGGTCTTTTCTGGAGGTTGTGGGATCACTTGACCGTGGTGTTACAGTCGTTGGTTTTGGCGCAAATGAAGATGGCATTAAGTATTGGTGGGTCAAGAATTCATGGGGAGCGAACTGGGGTGAGGGTGGCTACATGAGATTGCGCAAAGATGTTGGTTTTCCAGAAGGTCTTTGTGGCATTGCCATGTATGCTTCCTATCCAGTTGTATAACCCTCCCTTGGCGTATGGTTGCATATGTATTGAGCAGCTTGAGTAATGGCATTGTAATCTAAACTTGGTAGTGGTATAATAAAAGCTGCTGTTTTTCCATATTCAGTTCCACAATTGAGTAGTGTTGTACAAAGCACACTAAGATTTTGTGCCTACATATCCTCTTTGATGATCACCTCGAGAAATTTAACTAATAATAAGATTTTTTTGGTGCGCATACATTTTTGCATTAACAACGCAAAAGGTAATGGGTTAATTTAATTGTTTCGTATAATTGAAACTCAATATGGTCAGTACTTGTAGATGTGGGCCTTGTTGATTTTGAGCCTTAAAACTCTGGTCACTTAATTTTATTTGAAAAATGCTTTTGTAGAAAGTATATAGAATATTTGTTTAGGAAGCACTTCTGATGATAAATATTTTTATTATAAGCATATGTAAATTTTATTAAAAATTCAAGTGCTTTATCTTTATGGTTGAAAAAATTAATTGGAACTACTTTTATAGGCAATTAGCACTTTTTTTATTATATATTTAATGTCAAACAACGCAAAAACGCGCTTTTGTTTGATTACCTAAAACCATTTCCAAACTGGCCATGCTTAGCTAAGACTCTTTTCATACATTATGATTTGCTCCAATTGTACCTCCATAGACGTCGGGTGAATGATGATTTGCGCCAATTATGCCTCCATGACTTACTATTATGCCTTCATGACTTACTATGCGTCAATTTTCCACAAACAAAACAAAATATCAATTTAATAGTATTCGGCTACGTACGTGCCTGGAAATTTCGCTGCCTTCCCAATTCCGCTAATAACATGAACACTGTGTTCACATGCAAACACGCTGATCAAAACCTCTATATAAACCCACGATCATATGCTTTGCTTCTTCACAGCTAGCTAAGCTTTCCAATATCACTACTTAAAACCTAAGCCAATATTCCTTTGCGAACAATGGCTTTTGAGAAAAACCTTGTGGTCCTCGCCCTATTCATCGTCTTGGGGACTTTGGCATCTCAAGCCACATCCCGCACACTGTCCGAAGCTTCCTTTGCTGCAAAACATGAGCAATGGATGACAAAGTATGACCGTGTTTATGAGGACAATGCAGAGAAGGAAAGGCGTTTCGCCATATTCAAGAAGAACTTGCAGTTTGTGGAGAAGTTCAACTCTGAAGGGAACAAGACTTACAAGTTAGGACTGAATGAACATTCTGATTTGAGCGATGAAGAATTCCTCCGGCAGCGTACTGGATACAAAAGGGCCACTGAATCAACCTCATCCGCAAACATATCTTTCAGGTACAAAGACCTCAGCCCGACTGATGTTCCGCCTAGCATTGACTGGAGGGAGAAAGGAGCTGTCACCCCCATAAAGAATCAATTACGCTGTGGTAATTAAGAGATCCACCTTCCTTATATTAATTACCTTCTTAACTCATCCATATTCTTTACTAAGTATTGATGTTTTTGTTTTTGTATTATATATGTAGGCTGTTGCTGGGCATTTTCTGCAGTGGCAGCAGTGGAAGGGATTAACCAAATCCAAACTGGGGAACTGATCTCACTGTCCGAGCAACAACTTCTGGACTGTACCAGCAGCTATGGCAACAAAGGCTGCGATGGTGGTTTCATGACTAGTTCCTTTCAATACATCCAACAAAACGGAGGAATTGCCAGCGAAGAAAACTACCCGTACCAGGCTGTGGAGGGAACATGTAACGCTAATCAGCCTGCTGTCCAGATCACTGGTTATGAAAAGGTGCCTGAAAATAGTGAAGAAGACCTACTCAAGGCTGTGTCCAGGCAGCCAGTCTCAATAATCATCGATGGTTCCGGGGCGGAGTTTATGAATTACCAAAGTGGGGTCTTCTCGCCCACAGATTGTGGGACGAAAACGACCCATGCTGTTACCGTCGTTGGGTACGGGATGACTGAGGACGGCATTAAGTATTGGTTACTCAAGAATCAATGGGGTGAAAGCTGGGGTGAAAATGGCTATATGAAAATTCTTAGGGATGCTGGTGCCCCAGAAGGTGTCTGTGGCCTTGCTCAGTATGCTTCCTATCCGACTGCATAATCTATATATATTTATATAGGCTATTATGGAATCCATATCGAAGTGAATGTATAATCAATGGCTGTGAAAATGCCTATATCCAACTACATCATGAATAAATTAAAATTTTAAATTAATATCCCATGTGCAAGATATGTTCTAAATAGCAAATAATATTATAAGGAAATTGCATTAATTAATACATGCAATTAGTCGTCATGTTAAAAGTGTGTTATTGTGCCCTTTTACGTAGTAAACTACTTACATAGTGCATTAGATTGATATAGTACGTAATATGTAGTGCGATAAATAAAACATACATTTTTAAATCAACAACTCCGGAAGTAATATGGTTTAATGTTCTATATAATTCCTCTACTTGATGAAATTGAGACTCAAGAACTAATAACATGGGTTACTACTTGTAATCCTATTCATTCTGCCAAACTGCCAAAGTCTTATTATGCATAAATTACGATTGATTACAGGACCGACGACCTCAAAAGTCTCATTGGTCTTTGCCGAATAGAAAAAAATAACAAATCAAGTCTCTTTTTTCCCTGGGTTTTTCCCATTTCGCAGGGAAGGCATAAAAAATTTGCTCAACCACAAATACACACATCATCATCCCTTTAGAGTCTACCATTTGCAATAAAAGGAACGTTGGAAGCTTGCATTGCACCACCGCTAGTTTTGCAAATCTGAGTTAGACAGCAACTGCAACGATTCAGGATTCTTGAACATCAAATTCACATCAAGGACTGGATTATTCTAGTAGCTCGATGTGAAAGTTTGATGACCAAATTAATCCACAATTCTAGACGAACACGGTATCGAATTAAGGATTGGGGATTTCAAAAACTTTGTAGAGTTTTTTGTCATATCTCAAAAATTAATGAAGCTGACAATAAGTAAAGCTTGGCCGCATGCATGCTCAACCCCACCTGGATTTGGAGTTATTCGCATACAAATTGTTAGAACTTGGCTGCATGCTCAAGTTGGACTTCTTAATTTTCCACAAGACAACATATCAATTCCTGACTAACCAATGCTTGGCTGCATGCATGCTGATCATCTTCTATTCCTGCCCCACTGCTAGTCTTACAAATCTGAGTTAACACGGTATATTAATTAGCATCCTTACTTGAACATCAAATTCACGTCAGGGATTGGATTATTCTGGCTCGATTTTCAAAATTTTACGACCAACATCAATCCACAATTCCACATGAGCACGGTAGAGAATTAAGGATATTGCAGACTGCTGGAAAGACTTGAGAGTTTCAGTCATGCCGCAAATTAAGGCTGAAACTCCTCCAGCAATAGGTGCTGTGCTGGGATGGGTTATTAGTACCAGAATGGGCATTCACAAACTCAACCAACAATAAATAATATAATATATTAGTAAATTTAGCTTAATCCCTTCAAAGTCATTTTTCTCAAAGTTGAGCATATATTCAACATAAAATAATAATAATAATAATAATAAAAGAAGAAAAAGTTGATACTATGACTGCATAGCAAATGGATATTAGACCATGCTTCAGCGGTCATTTGTGCCTTGGGATGAACCCCAACTCTGAATCTCAATTATTTTCTCATCTATTTTAACGAGTGTTTGTTCCTTTGAGCACTAAACTCACTCCATTATTTCTTTCTTATGTCAATGTATAACATTTAAAAAAGAAAAAAGTCTTCCTAATTAGGTGCTTTACTTACCATAAATTTAGTAATTTATTATAAAACCACCATAAAAATTTGATGCAATTAATAACTTCATTATTTCTTACGTTTTATGTGCTCAAGGGTAAATTGGATAAGGAAAGAAATATAATATTGGCTAATTATCTCATTAAGGTAAGTAATCTAAGATAATGGGCAATATTGGAACCAAAAGTGATTTTAAAAATATAAAAATCAAAAGATTACATCATACAATATTTAAAAATGAATGTAATCCTATGTGGCACAAAAGTCAAAGGACTTGTATCAAAGTCACAAAATCCGAGGATTAAACCCATGGATATATATCAACTTTTCTATTATCTAAAAGCATTTCCAAACTGACCATGCTTAGCTAAGACTCTTTTCATACATTATGATTTGCTCCAATTGTACCTCCATAGACGTCGGGTGAATGATGATTTGCGCCAATTATGCCTCCATACACACAGATTTGTGTGGTCCCATGCAAAATGAATCAATTGCTGGGAATAAATACTTCATGTTGCTTATTGATGATCACACAAGAATGTCATGGGTTTATTTCCTAAGACATAAATCTGAGGCACTAATCTGTTTCAGAAAGTTCAAAGCAATGGTGGAGTTACAATGTGAATTCAAAGTGAAATGCCTAAGGAGTGACAGAGGGGGAGAATTTCTCTCAACTGAATTCAGCAAGTTATTGGAATCTGAAGGCATACAAAGACAGTTATCCATTGCTTATACTCCACAGCAAAATGGAGTAGTGGAGAGAAAGAATAGAACAGTTGTAGAGATGGCTAAGGCAATGCTTCATGATAAAAGCATGCCATACTTTCTGTGGGCAGAAGCTGTACATACAGCTGTTTATATTCTAAACAGATCACCTACAAAAGCTCTTCATAACATAACTCCTTTTGAAGCCTATAGTGGGAGAAAACCAGGAATTGGTCACTTAAAGGTGTTTGGATCACTCTGTTATGTGCATGTACCAGCTGAAAGAAGACAAAAGCTTGATGCAAAGTCTGTCAAAGGTGTGTTTGTGGGGTATGCAACCTGTGAGAAAGGGTACAGAGTATTTGATCCAAGCACTAAGAAGCTGATTTTGTCAAGGGATGTGATTTTTGATGAAACCAAGTCCTGGAACTGGAAGGAAACTTCAGAAAATTCTGTTGCTGTGACTTATATTCCAAATCAACCTGTAAATGGAATTGAAGTGACTTCACATGAGTT